CTCTATTTTGTGTCCCTTGTGATGAATGAATCACAATCAAGCATGTCCTGCTTGGCTGTATTGATTTTTCCATCACAAGGGATACATATTTCAAATCATCACCTATAAAGGATCTTTTAGTTCTCATTTAATCATTGGTATTTTAACGGAAACAGAGCTGTTTGAGAAATTTTGATTGATACGTGTTATAAAATATGAATGTTTTAAAATTAGCAATTGCAACTGAGATTATTAGTGGCAGTATCCATGAAGGTGGTTAAGTTACTGTAAAATTATTGTCCCCCCCTTAGAGGGTACGTAGGTTTAAGATCATTCAAAGTAAATTTAGTCCTACCACGATTTTAATCGTGGTATATTTGTTAGTTTTAATTGATGGCTAAACTTGCATTCTATCGCCAGCGGCTTGATGGATGATGTAAATCCTGCTGGGGTCCATGCAGGTAGCAAAGTTACTGTAAGTCCCCATAATCACTAGTATGGCGATCTACCTTCAATTGCTGGTGATCTATAGCCTGTATTTACAATGTATTGTTCTGTTTAGTTATATTTTTTTATGGCCACATACTAGTTTTAGTTTTGTTTGTTGTTGTTAAATGCCGCACTCAGCAATATTCCAGCTATATGACGGCGGTCTGTAAATAATCGAGTCTGGACTAGACAATCCAGTGATTGACATCAAGCGCATCGATCCACGCAATTGGGATACGATGACATGCATCAACCAAGTCAGCGAGTCTGACCACCCGATCCCGTGAGTCCCTCTTACGACAAGCACAGTCGCTTTTTACAGTAAGTATGGGTTGCTGAAGACCTATTCTACACCGGATCTTCACGGGTCTTTTTTCAATACAGTTGCCACGTTAGCCACACTGAAAACAGATTGATTATGTATGAACATTACTGAGTCACTTGCTCAGTAAACATCTGCTCCTCTGACATTACCAGACTGAGGGTGTTGGCATGTAATGTTTAAAAATTAAACATTTTTAATAAAAACATTATTGATTTTTCTCTTTTGAAAGTATATCAGCCTCAATGTTTTGTGTAATGTAAATATAGTAGTTGTGATTTAAAACAATTATAGTACCGTCATTATTGCAGATATAGAAACTTAGTTCTTTGTTTCATGTTTGTTAATGGTTGGATCTTCAATATTTATACAGATGGTATAGGAACAGCAATGTTGACAGCAACTTGTGTTAGTGTCTGTCTTTGCTGGCATGTAAAACTGTTTGCTACATAACCTGATGGGCTACAGTGCTGTGGCACTAGTGCATATATGGACCAGGTCTAAGTATTCAGTGGGCAGCTTTAACGTGGCACTAGTTTCCAATGCATATATGGACCAGTTCTAAGTATTTAGTGAGCAGCTTAAACGTGGCACTAGTTTCCCATACATATATATACCAGGTCTAAGTATTTAGTGAGCAGCTTAAACGTGGACTAGTTTCCCATACATATATGGACCAGGTCTAAGTATTTAGTGGGCAGCTTTAACGTGGCACTAGTTTCCCATACATATATGGACCAGGTCTAAGTATTTAGTGGGCAGCTTAAACGTGGCACTAGTTTCCCATACATATATGGACCAGGTCTAAGTATTTAGTGAGCAGCTTAAACGTGGGACTAGTTTCCCATACATATATGGACCAGGTCTAAGTATTTAGTGGGCAGCTTAAACGTGTCACTAGTTTCCCATACATATATGGACCAGGTCTAGGTATTTAGTGAGCAGCTTAAACGTGGGACTAGTTTCCCATACATATATGGACCAGGTCTAAGTATTTAGTGAGCAGCTTAAACGTGGGACTAGTTTCCCATACATATATGGACCAGGTCTAAGTATTTAGTGAGCAGCTTAAACGTGGCACTAGTTTCCCATACATATATGGACCGGGTCTAAGTATTTAGTGAGCAGTTTAAACGTGGCACTGGTTTCCCATACATATATGGACCAGTTCTAAGTATTTAGTGGGCAGCTTAAACGTGTCACTAGTTTCCCATACATATATGGACCAGGTCTAGGTATTTAGTGAGCAGCTTAAACGTGGGACTAGTTTCCCATGCATATATGGACCAGGTCTAAGTATTTAGTGAGCAGCTTAAACGTGACACTAGTTTCCCATACATATATGGACCAGGTCTAAGTATTTCGTGAGCAGCTTAAACGTGGGACTAGTTTCCCATACATATATGGACCAGGTCTAAGTATTTAATGAGCAGCTTAAACGTGGCACTAGTTTCCCATACATATATGGAACAGGTCTAAGTATTTAGTGGGCAGCTTAAACGTGGGACTAGTTTCCCATACATATATGGACCAGGTCTAAGTATTTCGTGAGCAGCTTAAACGTGGGACTAGTTTCCCATACATATATGGACCAGGTCTAAGTATTTAGTGAGCAGCTTAAACGTGGCACTAGTTTCCCATACATATATGGACCAGGTCTAAGTATTTAGTGGGCAGCTTAAACGTGGGACTAGTTTCCCATACATATATGGAACAGGTCTAAGTATTTAGTGGGCAGCTTAAACGTGGGACTAGTTTCCCATACATATATGGACCAGGTCTAAGTATTTAGTGAGCAGCTTAAACGTGGCACTAGTTTCCCATACATATATGGACCAGGTCTAAGTATTTAGTGAGCAGCTTAAACGTGGCACTAGTTTCCCATACATATATGGACCAGGTCTAAGTATTTAGTGAGCAGCTTAAACGTTCAATATAGTTTTCTAACTGTGTCATCAACTTCGTCACAACTTACAGAATTACGCTTTCTACATCATAATTCTACACTGAACTTCCGACTTCCCCCTTAAATATTATGTACCTCAGTTCAATACATGCATTGGTTAGGTTTGTTTATGTTTTTGTATTGCATGTTGAATATTCTCAACAGAATATATTTTTAATACCTGCTTTTTCTGGAAGTAATAATGTTGAAACACATTTTGACAACGCGTGACAATTTTCAAACCTGCAATATATGTTATTTTGTTTTTGAAAATTATGTTTAACTTCTTAATCCTTTGTGATTAGCTGTCGACAAGTTTTGCGATCGTTGAACGAGGTTGATGTTCCGTATTCTGGACACACCGCGCAGGATATACATGTATATAACTGAAGTAGTATGATAATATTAACGTCAGGGAGTGCTTAGGTAAACGGACGGCATTTAAGAAACAAAGATAATATTTATTTAGTATTCATCATTGACAGTAAACAACATCAGGCACTGCTTATTGTCTAGGGCACACTGTACATATTGATTAATGTATCAAGTACCGATCAATATATACGTTTTGTATGAACCTAAACACAAGGCCAAAGAGCGGTCTTCGTGGACACGAATGGTTTTTTTAACTTATTCATATGTTTTAATAATATATCCACCCAATGTCATCAACTGAACACGTATCTGTTGGTTAACCTACAAATTGGATATTTCTATACAAAAAGATCTGAATTGTGGGGGAAACTGACGCATACATCTAGGCCGTGTAAAATATCATTGATATTTAGAATCAACCAGAGTGAAGAAAGGAAAATAAAAAACAACATACAAATATGTCCTGAAACAGAGAAGAAAAACAAATGTACTTAAATAAATCTTGCGAGAGGGGATGGTGGAGAAGTAAATGTAGGGAGACAGTTCATGAGTTTCTGCCTGTTTGGAGGAGATTTAAAAAGTGTTCTCATTATAAACTCTATCAGTGAAGACTTTCCTGACCTGAAACTCCTTTTTTGTATGTTTATTTACGCTCACCTTTACGCGAACACCTGGTATCATTACTATTTGAAAGTGTTTCACAAACACATGTTCATGATATAGCCGGAATCGTAAATCGACTCTGCTTTATGCAGATATTTCTATTGGATGTAGAAAGTGTTTTGTCGATTTATCTACTTCCGAAACATAATATAGGAATGAACAAGTAAATCTCAATATTTTATTAATTTGAAGTTTAATTTGGACGAAAGGTCGCTCACATGACCGCGATATAGACGTTCATAAGTGTATGAACCGACACAATTTGACGTTCAAACGTTTTTCACGAGACCGTGTCCATGAAATGACGTAAACACTGATGGACTACTTCCACATTCTTGGGGGAACCCCTGGAAATTCCCTGGCATGGGAAGTGTTTCTCATCATTTATACCCTTTAATCTTGAACTTAGCTTTTTGGCATACATTGGGATAAGTTAGAGGGTTTGATTGCATGTCCGTTCAAGGATATCCTCGCTACAACTCATCTTAGAGAACAAAAAACAAAGAAAAGCACATTTAAACTACCGTAGTATCGACTAGAACCGTGTCTAGACTATAGTGACAGTCTACAGCAATATATGAATTTCCTTAGCATCTGTTTGACATATCTCTACAATCACCTTTCAGTGATCGGTCAATTGATCAGTGATGACTCACACTTGTAACAGCCATAGGTTAAACTTCTGGTGCTGGTTTGTTTTTCGTTATTCAAAAGTACTGAATAACTAAAAAGCTTTTGGACGATGTAAGACGAATCTGCTGTCATATATATATTAAATGAGTTTCAGTGTGTTTGACCACCATTACTGTAGTTGTTTAATATACAGCCTTTGAATAACTAACCCGGTGCTGGCTTGTTTTTCGCTATTCGAGAAACGAATAACGAATAACGAACCCGCTGCTAACTTCGGGCCCCTGAACTACAAAAGTTGTTCTCTCTGAGCACGTTTTGATGAACTATTATATCCCGCGTCAGAGCTGGGTGGTGTATGACTGTCAGTACGTGTAAGTAGAATTGTGTATAGATCTAAGTTCTTTGAGGTAAAAATAGTGATATAAAAACTGTAAGAACTGACTTTCACTATGCATGCTCCGACGTTCATACAGGTGGCCCTCCCTCTATGAAAGTTCATACTCCAATAAACTCACACAAAGTGAACGTCAATTCTTAAATATCTTCGAACAAAAGTCAATCAATGTGCTTTACAGAAAATAATGATGGCCTTACCTTAGCGTTTTACCTTAACGTTTGCTCGTAGTCACCTCTTCTAGTCTCTGACTCGTCCAGCTAAAACTATCGTGCTGTCCCTGTAAACTGGAGTCCAAACTACTCCATACAATCGTTTGCTTACTCCTGTGTCTGCAGGGAGTCCAATGTTGATGTTAAATTCTGACGATGAACATGTCACATCGATCGAAACTTTCTGGCTATATAAGGATGATTATGTATCCGTCTATGCTGACAAGTCGATACAAAGATGAATGATGCTGACACTGAATGTGTAATATCTAAAGCTTTACAAGATACTTGTGTATCAGCAACATCGCCAATACAGCAACATCACCAATACCATGTTAGAGAGAATGCCTGCTCTTACGACGGTTGATTGATAAATTCTAAGCCTCACGTAGGCGGAATTGCTTAACATCTTTTGTTGTTGATATCACATGATATCTTTGAGGTATATGCACACTGGAATACACTGAAAAATTGTTTCGCTGCGACCCCTGTTAACACTCAAGCCAATGGTGTTAAGAGCTTAGAAACCATGGTGAATAGTCTCGTGTAATATTTTCCGGCGTGTCCACATTCACTCTAGACTTTCTGGATACAGTACTGCCTAAAAGTTCATTCCCCTAACACGCGTTGAGAACGCGCGTAACACGCATGTGACACGGGTGCTCAACGGGTTGCACACGGGTTGAGTACCCGTTGTACACGACTGTGCAACGGGTGTGCAGTGCGTTGCTTAGTGACACATGATTTCCAACCCATGTCTCCCCTGGCGGTGACATTTGACGCATTACCTCTAAGGCCGAGGAAAAATTTACATGCTTTGATTTCTAGAGTGTTTATGTTTTTATGTTCATACAACCCCCAGATGGAGGCACCATATTGCATAATAGGCTGAACCAAGGATTCATACAATTTATTATTAATATCAATTGCATAAGTAAAACCACCAGCATCAAAATATTTTGTACATAAAACACCAAAAGCTCGGCTTGCCGATTTAGCCAGTTCATTAATTGTGAACTTAAAGTCCATGTGTTTGTTTTTGTAGGATTAACTGTAAGTACTAATAATAAAATATCATAAGCATATAACATAATACCAAATTTTAAATCATTTACGTCAACACCACAGTTCATGCGTTTTATATTGGCCGCCAGGTCGTTAACGTAAATAGAGAACAATAATGGAGAGACAAGGCATCCTTGCTTTAGTCCCCTTTGGGGCCTTAGACCAGGGTGAAAGCAAACCATTTACTCTCACAGCGCACTTCACATTGCTGTATAAACTTTTAACAGCTTCAAACATTTTTCCGTTTATGCCAGTTTTTAATATTTTAAACCATAAACTATCTCTGTTTACATTATCGAACGCCTTTTTCATGTCAATAAAACAGCAAAATGTTGATAATTTTGATTGTTTTCTATTTTTGATATTGTACAAATATCAAAGAGGTGATCCAAACAGCTCCTTTTTTCTGAAGCCATTTTGCTCCTCAGCTAAAATATTATTTCTTTCGCACCACCCACTCAAATTTTACAGGGTACAGAAATAAGAGAGATACCCCTGTATGACAGAGGATTGTAAACATCGGTGTCAGATTTAGCAATAGGATTAATGATACTCTGTTGCCATGCATCAGGTACTACACCATTATTAAAACAATGAGTAATTATTTTAAACAATATGTCAATGCAGACAGGATTTTTCAGACACTCAGCAGGAAGATTATCAATACCCGCCGCCTTTCTGGATTAAGCGCGTTCTATTGCTTTCTCTACTACCACCAACGAAATTGGGACGTTCAAGGGATCACAGTTTGCTTTATCGTCCTTTTTTATAACAAAATTGGATAATTCATTCACTATATTACCCAGGTGTTCACTATCAGAATTTCTATCAGGGTGTGGGTCGTAACCGTATAAATTTCCAAAGTCATCCTTCCACCTTTCAAGGACAGAGCTAGGACAAACAATATTTCCTTCGGTGTCTCTGACCTTAAAGGGCAACTTACCTGTACGGTCGTTAGCTGCACCTAATCTACCAATCATTTTCCAGAAATCTCTTGTGTCAGTATTATCAAACGAGTCTGTCAGTTTCTTCTGCTTTTCTAGCTGATAGGAACGTTTATATTTTCTATGTAGTTTATCAAAGTATTTTCTCTGACTGATATATAACTGAAGACTGGCTCGTTTCACGCCTGGTGATCTACATGCTAACCACTCCCTTTCTCGAGCGCATGTTAGTGTCCACTCAACCAGGTCATGACAATGGTTATGCGCAAGGCTCGGGATCGCGAAAAGATCACTAAAGGTGTTGATGCAGCATTCTGCATTTCCAGTGTATGCGGCACCTCGTCTTTGTTTCACTCGGTATTGAAAACCTTGATATACAAGGCTACGGCCACCACGCCATTCACAAGTGCATTTGTCTATTTACAATGAAGTTGTTTAGCGCTCCCAGTATTTATATACCTCCTAACTGATTAATTGTTAACTGGTCACTGCAAGTACCTTAATTATTTAATTTTCAGTGAACTGAGTTTATTCACATGTTAGCTTTCATGGGTTGTGATGGATACTTGTAAAATCCTCAGTTGAGTTTACTCACTAACTACTGTGAGCGCTTTTGACATGATTTCTGTGCTTGTATAAACACAGTAACTGCTAAAAGCGGCGTAAAACCATGTTCATTCACAGTAACTGCAGGGGCGGTCGGGTAGCCTAGTGGTTAAAGCGTTCGCTCGTCATGCCGAAGACCCGGGTTCGATTCCCGACATGAGTACAATGTTTGAAGCCCATTTCTGGTGTCCCCGCCGTGATATTGCTGGAATATTGCCAAAAGCGGCGTAAACCCATACTCATTCACTCACTAATCCTCTACAGTGTGCTGGCAAAGTGGGGATAAACTTGTGTCAAAGACGATCAAACTTAGTTAGAATCCTTGTTTATCTGTGACATCTTCCAACTGGTGACATTTTAGTAAACTTGACAAGTAATGGTGAATTTTAATATTCATATTATTATAGTTTATCAAATTGTAAATACAACTTTAATTAAATTGTTCTACACTCTCTCGACAAATGTATTTCTGTGAGTAAGTTTAAATGTCACGTCACATCAGCATTTTTTCAGTTACATTGTGGCAAAATAATTGCCAGCCTTTTGGACTACTTGTAACATGGCTTCTTTTACATTTCTTATACAAATGATTGACTGTAGTCCATGATCAATTAGAATTTTTATTGTGTAAACAAACCAGTGAAGTTTGCAACAATAGATGAATAAGTTGATAAATTTGGACCGCAGTTACCGATTAACAACTTAAGACATAGAGACAGGGAGTAGATATACAACAAAAGTTATGTTCATTTGAGACGATTGACAGAACGTTGGAGTAAATGACCCTATATTGTAGGGTCAATCGCTTTTGACATGTTTAAACTCACTTTAAGGCACACGACAAGTCAACACTGGCCGCCCTGATCATGTTCGTAGGTTTGACAGAAACTATGCCCGTGGATTTCAGAGATAGATATGATTTGTTACCTTGATGTTATTACAATAAGCGAAAATGTCTACACAGTCCACAGTTTGTTTAATAGTACAAAAATAAGTGTATTAAAACTCTATCAACGTTTTCTTTTATTGAACACAATATTTGCACTATATTGTTGTAAATGATCTAGCCTGCTGCCCATGTAACTTAAACATATTTATGTATGATCTTCATATGCCACGGTCTGTGGCCAGAAAAGCAAATTAAGTTATGTCTTATGACCTCTATTATCCCTGCTGACGCTATCATAATGTTCAATTTCAGTCTGCCACACCAAGAATGAATAAGCGTTATACTATGTGTTGATAAACCACACTGAGGCATATATATTTTTGTAGATATGAAACATTCTAGTTAATTGTGGATACTCTGGGCACACATACATAACAAAACCCTGTGGCCGATGGATTGATGCCTTGATATGCAAGAAGAAAGAATCTTGTTTATTTCCAGGCCATCCTGATCATCGTTTACTCCTACTACATGCACGGTTAGAGGCAAGATCATAGGCGCCGCCCAGCATTTATTAGACAACAAACAGGGTTGTCCGTTTCGCTTTGAACTACCATCCCCACCCTGTCGGTAGGGGTTATCTAATCGGTGCGCACATAACAGTTACTGTGTCCAGTCAAAGACGTATATACAATATATATATGTCTTTGGTCCAGTCTACCACGGTGTTTGATGCGGCGTCAGTGTCGAATGGTTTTGTGTGATAGTTGTGCCAATATTCGTTGTATATCGAATATTTATGTTACTAACTATCCTCTTATTTGCTAAAAGAAAACGGATATTACCAACAGTAAGTCAGCCAACTGGAAGATCCACTGGCTGCTACATTCCTGATATAGGCTAAACGCTCCTGTTTGTGTATACTAGACGTAACATTCTAAGACTAATAAAGTCAATTTTAAGACAGTACAGGTTATGGAACCCAAAGATGATTTGTCCAGAACGCATCTGCTGTGTATACGAGGATGTCCATGACTGAACTGTTATAACGTTAGACCGCGAGATCGGAACATTAAAGTAGACACACGAGAGTTGGGACACTGGTTGTGTAACACCAAGACATGCGGTTTGAAATCAGTCACTGACATGAGAGATTAGGTTAATTAAACACACAATTTTGCTTTCATCTGAAGCATTATGAGAACTGGGGAGCCAATATGCAAGTATTACACGCATTCACACACGGAAGAATTTTATGGTTGATATAGTATATGTTTTAATTAATCTGAACACAATTATATCAACATGAGCAAATATACAAGTCTATGGTAAATGCTTTGTTTTCACTTCGACATAATATATTATAACAAAGTAAGAGAAGGTTTCGGAATCCTCTTGAAAGTACTAAAATAACAACTGTTGTTTTCTGAAGAGAGAGCTTTTTATGATGAAAACATTGACTATTGATTTCTTCTCTCATTTTCCAATGTTGTTCACTTCAAATTTCTTCTCTTTTTCTAAACTGGTAAGAAAAACGTTTACATGATCACAAGGCAATGAGCCTGTTGAATGTAACCCTGTGAGATCTGTCAAATCTATCACAGATTTGACGCTATCTA